GAAATCCTGAACAGACTAATATTGAGTAATGAGATTCAAACAGTAATAAAAAGTCTCCTAACAAAAAAAGCCCTGAACTAGATGGATTCACAGCTGAATTCTATAAGACCAACAAAGAAGAACTGACACCTATTCTACTAGAACTGTTCCATAACATAGAGAAGGAGCGCACCCTCCCTAACTCATTCCATAGAGCCAGTATCACTTTGATACCAAAGCCAGGAAAGGACACAACAGAAAAAGAAAGTAGCAAACCAATATCCCTTATGAATGTAGATGCAAAAATCCTCAACAAAATACCAGCAAATTGAATTCAAGATACATAAATCAAAAAATGTGATTCACCGCATGATGAAAAGATCAAAGACCATAAGATCATCTGAATAGATGCAGAAAAAGCATTCAATAAAGTCCAATACTGTGTGATGATAAAAACCCTCGACAAACTAGATATAGAAGGAACATATCTCAAAATTATAAAAACTATATATGACAAACTCACAGTCAACATCATACTGAACAGGGAAAAGTTGAAACCATATCCTCTAAGAACTAGAATAAGACAAGGATGTCCACTATTACCACTTCTATTCAACATAATATTGGAAGTCCTAGCCAAAGCAATCAGGCAAGAGAAAGAAATAAAGGGCATTTGAATCAGGAAAGAATAGATCAAACTTTCCCTATTTGCTGATGATATGATCTTGGTATCTAGAAAATCCTGAAGACTCCACCAAGAGACTCCTAGAATTGATGAATAAATTTAGCAATATCTCAGGTTATAAAATCAATGTACACAAATCAGTAACATTTCTATATGCTATTAGCAGTCAAGCTGAGAGTTAATCAAGAACTCAATACAATTTGCAATAGCTGCAAAGAAAATAAAATACCTAGGAATATATTATACTTAACCATAGAGATGAAAGATCTCTATGAGGAAAACTGCAAAACATGGATGAAAGAAATCAAAGATGACATAAACAAATGGGAAAACATTCCATGCTCATGCATTGGAAGAACCAACATTGTTAAAATGTCCACACTACCCAAATTGATTTACAGATTCAACACAATACCCATCAAAATACTGGCATTTTTCACAGATCTAAAATAATAATAATAATTCTAAATTTCATATGGAATCAAATAAAAGCCTGAATAACCAAAGCAATATTAAGCAAAAAGAACAAAGCTGGAGGCATCACATTACCTGACTTCAAATTATATATACTATAAAGCTATAGAAACCAGAACAGAATAGAACTGGTATAAAGATATAAAAGCCCTGACTTCAGCATTATACAATTCATCCATGTAACAAAAATACTTATGCCCCCCTAATATTTTAAAATAAAAATTATTTTAAAAACTTAAAAACAACACTAAGGACATTATAATCAAACTGCTTAAAACTAATGATAAGGAAAAGAAATCTTTAAAGCAGCCAGATAAGAAAAATACACAGTGGGCCCAAAATAAGGATGATAGAATATTTCTCATTGAAAACAATGCAAACTAGAAGACTATGATGAAATATCTTTAAAGTACTGAAAGGAAAAAAAGGCAAGCTAGATTTACCAGTGGAAAAAATATTTCAAAAACAAAGGTGAAAGAGAATTTTTCATATGTAAATCTAAAAAGGATTCATTATCAATATACCTTCACTTTAAGAAATACATTAATTGTTTTGTATAAATCTTATTTTGTAATACCAACTATATTTATCAAGCAAGGTGTTCTGTCTGTGGACGTTACTTGTTAGAGATGTGAATCCCAGGATCGTTTGTTATTACCACCACAGACTAAGAATCATTATTTTGGGATATAAACTTCATGAGGAATGAAGATCTAATCCAATGTCATGGGGCAAATGGAATAATTAGGATAAAGTCTGAACTGCAATAATATTAAAAAATATAGTGGCTTAAACAAAGTTTAACTTCATTTGCTTCTCATAAAATGATCCAGGCAGGACCACCAGGGCAGTATGGCAGCAGAGGGGGTCAGGGATCCAGGTTCCTTGCCATCCCCATTGTACTGCTCTCACCTGCATGGCCCAAGGTGATCCAACCAGTGGGAAAGAGAGAAGGCAAATGTTAGAATGTGTTCCTTCCAGGTAGAAAGTTATGCATGTCTCCTAGTCATGCCCTATTGACTAAAACCTGGTCATGTGGCCACATCTTACAGCAAGGTAAGCTAAAAATGTAGTATTTTTATTGGGCAACAGTGTGCTCAGCTGAAAGTCTTATTATAATAGAAAAAGGGGAGAATAAATATTGAGTAATTGATTAAAATTCTCTGCCAAAGCAAGTTAGTGACTGAGTTAAAAATTAGAAGAAGAAAAATTCATCAGATTGAGAGTTAGGAAATAGTGACTGTAGTCCTAATTCAACCTCTTAGTCCATGAGTAAAACAAACGTTTGACTCATGCTTCACTTGAACTCCCTTTACTATCTGCACCTAACGGAGTTCTTAGTGATTCTACTGTCCCTGTGTAGAGGGAGAAAGATACCACAGACCTAGAGAGTTTCATCTAAATCTTTTAGTTAAGTCCTGTTCTTTACTGGACAGTCCTGTTCTTTATTGGACACCCCCCCTTTGGGGGGTCATTAGCTCTGTCTGCCAAGACCAAGGCACAGCTGTGAATTGTGGGCTCAGGTATGCCAAAATCCTGGCACAGTTCCTAGTCAGAAGCAGGATTATACTCCATGGTACTTGACAGACAAAATTCTCCACCTGCAGTAAATAAGATGCCATCACTACTATTTTTCTTGCAGAAGTTCTAATGGATGATAATGAGGATAAAGGGGTGGAGAATTGCATTATTATACAAAAATCTAAGCTGGTGCGGCAATGAAGATAATTTCCTCTCTCTAGTGTAATACAAGCCTTCTCTTTTCATTGTGGCCTTAATTTTGAAGGAAAGGGAAGTTAATTTTAATTAACAAAAGTTAATGCTACTAATTACACATTTGTTCTATTTTCACATGCACATACAAATTTGCCTAAAGATGTAACTAGCTCTGCTGAGGCTATAACAAAAGCTTTGTTTTGCTACATGGAGAGTACAAATGATCACAGGAATTAAATCAAAATTGGCCAAGCTACTTAGTTCATGTTCTTGAGTGTATCCAATTCCTTTTTAAGTATTACACAATCCAGGAATAAATGATTTTATTTTTGCCAATAAAATTTAACTTAATCTTTCTTTAAATTTCTAAAGCTAATAAAATCAGATAATAATTTTAATAACAAATTTAAAACATCGCTTTTTCACATCTCCCAGCAACTCTGAAGGGAAAGTGACCTTTTCTCTTATTAACAAGCTGAGCTTTGGAGAGATTTATAAGGATGGCTCTTATAAACACACTGAGAATGACAATAGCTTAGGCTCTATCTTAACATCCCCTACTATGGGACAGATACAATGAGTACATAGAATGCTGCCAAAGATGAGTCAGGAAATAAAAGGATTTCAGAACTGTAGGGGATTATAAATACCTGTCTGGCATGAATGGTAGAACATTATTTGCCTTTTGGAACACATTCACCAAGAGAAAGAAGGGCATGCTGCCTCACTTGTTCACATTGAGATTGTAAGGAACATTCAGACTATTAAAAATATATATCAACAATCCAATAAAATTGATTGTATTATGTAAATGAATAGTTTTATGTGTATACCCATATATACCTTTATATAAATAAATACACATATTTGCAAGAGAGAGATTATTGATTCTGTTCACATTGTTATGTGGACAGAATCAATAAATCAAAGATGGCCAATGGATTAAGTCCCACTTGAAAGAAATAAATGTATATTCTCATATATTAGGGATATGACACTGTTCCAGTCATGTTAGATGAAGTGCATTGCTAATCTAATTCATTTTAGATTACCTAAGAGGGAGAAGAGGGGAAAGTAACTTGGCAAATGCTAAGGAGCCTTAGAATTATTCAGCTAAAAGTATCCCTTAAGACATCATGAGACAACTCCTGAAAAACTAATTTTCTATATGAACTGTTTCTATAAGTAAATTGCTCACTCAATATAACTAGCATTAATTTGAAAATGTCTGAGAAATTATAGTGTTCTTTTTAAGAATTAAAGTAGAAATTTGGGGCCTTGGTGCCAGAATTCTTATTTTTTTTACTTTTGCTTTCTTTTTTGGTTTTTATTGCAGGTACAGATTGGGGGGTGGGTAGAGTGGGGAGTTGGTCTTGTTTGTTTTACCTTCAGTGGTACCCTCTATTAATATTAGTTTCTCAGGACAAAGTATCATTCCGCTCCTTTACTATTAAGTCCAATTCCATGAAACTTATTACTGTTTGTGTTAAAAGGATTACGTTGGTAGGTGAAAATTTTGCTTCTACTTCATTAAAACAAAGATACCTATGAAGGATGAGCTGTTATAAGACTGGAGCATCCTTGCAAATATTTGTGCGACAGGAACTTTTATACCATAATGAGGTATCCAGTGGACAGACCTGAGATATTTCTCTCTACCATAACAGGTTTTTCTATCCTATTCCCTCATAGCTTTTCAGTTCTAGTAGAATTTGTACAGTGTACAGAAATCTGGAATAATTCACATATTTTGAGATTTGTTGTATTGTTCTTATCCTGTAACTATTTTTACTGAGATATAATTCATATACCATGTATTATAATTCACAATGAATTATAAAATGCACAGTTCAATGGTTTTTCGTATATTCACAGATAAGTGTAAGTATCACCACTGGCAATTTCAGAACATTTTTGACACCTCAGAAAAAAACCCCACTATCCTCCTATACTTTTTCCAGCCTTAAATGATTACTAATCTATTTTCTGTCTCTATAGATTTCCCTATTCTGGATTTTCATATGAATGGAATAATATAATACATGGACTTTTGTGACTAGCTTCTTTTACCTAGCATAATTTTTTCAAGGTTCATCTAAGTTGTAGCATGTATCAGCATTTCATTCCTTTGCATAGCTGCATAATATTCCACTATATGAATATACTAGATTTTATTTATTCATTTGTACACTGCTGGACAGTTGGGTTATTTTGACCTTTTGACTATTTTGAGTAATGTCGCCATAGACTTTCATGTACAAGTTTTTGTATAGACACAGGTTTTCATTTCTCTTGTGTATATACCTAGGAATGGAATTCCTAGGTCATATGGTAACTATGTTTAATTGAGGAACTGCAAGACTGTTTTACAAAGTGGCTATACCATTTTATATTGCCATCAGTGGTGCATGAGGGTTCTGATTTCTCCACATCCTCTCTGGATTGCCTTTAAGCAATATTGCTTTGCTAAGGATGGTGGATTAGAACAAAAGGAGGGCAACATCCTGATGATATAGTGGAGATCATACCAGTCCTACTGCCTACCTTCCAATTTCTCTTAAGTGAGAGAAAATAAACCCCTGTCTCATTTAATCCACTATTATTTCTGGTCTCTGTTAACAGCAGCTTCACACAAATCTTAACTCACGAGGTCCTATTAGCACATCTTGACTCTGGGAAGTTCTCAAAAAAATTCATGGAATTGAATATGGGAGGATTTTTTTTTCAATGGAAATGTTTCTTTTTCATCTTGTTGTACTCTGGAAAATGCACCTTATTACTTTCTGATTTCAGAACCCATGTTTCAATAACCATTCTTCTTAGAAACTGTTTCAAGTTCTCACTAGCACCTTGTGGGTGCTCTGCAAGATGGAAACAACTTGATCTCTTGAAACAAATGTTATAGTTGGAGCAATTTTAAAAATGGTAAGGAAAAGAAAGCACTCATTGTGGTGATGCAGAAGGAGCAGGAATTTATTTTTCCTTCCTCAAATATTATTCTAAGTATTAGGACAAGAGTAAGTCTGATAAGAAGTCATTTAAAGTTTTCTCTTACCTCTCTGGGAGCCCAGGGAATTTCAGTGCCATGTTGAATAGAAAATGCTTGTATCACATATTTGTTCACTTTTAGACATTGCCTTTGAAACCACTTAGCCTCTGTGACAGGTTATTACATTCACGGCCACAGGTTTCCACATTGGCCTTTGGAAAAGTAAAAGGAAACCTGAGTAATTAGTTACATATCAGCTTTCTCCTTTTCTTCCCCCAGTGCTTTTGTTCTAATCATCTGCATTTTGAGGGGACACTCTGAACATACAAGCAACCTGCCATTCTACTAGCTCTCTTGTAACAAATGTAAATATCTGTCCCAATGTCAGGCTTTGATGAATGGGGTTTCTTATATGTTTTCATGTAACCAGTAAATCACTACTGGTGGAAAGGAGAAGATTACAGAGTCGTTGTGTGATCTATTCCTTTCTCAATTCTTCAATTAACTGAAGCTAGTCAGCCAACATTTATTGAGTACTTATGATTTATTTCATTCTGTTAAAAAATAATCATTTTTTCTTTTTAACTCCTGATAATAGATTTTTACACATAAGTTAACAGTTCTTGGAATCAAATTTACATCTTAAAACAAAATATCTTAATCGTCTTTCTTTTGCAAGGAAGCCTTCGTTTCTCATTTTAAAGACTTCCCCCTGCCTATTTTCCTACTTACAAACAGCAAACAGCAAAATCATTTGCCTTGTGTTGTCATCAGGTTAGTTTGAATGTTTCTTATAAAAGCCAAATAAATAGGAGAAATGCTTTACTCTCCCAAAATTTCTCTTGAATCTTAGCTTTACAATAATTTTCTATTTTGTAGACTATCTTCATTTGCTATTTATTTAATAAACATTTATCAAGGACCTCATGTTTACTTAGCTTCATATTTTGTGTTATACTGGAATAGGCTCAAATCTATGACACACAGAATCTCCAAAGAGCAACTTTATAAGTTATGCAAATTTCTGGGGTTGTGCCATTTTATTACCTTTCTATTAAAATGTCAACATCTTCTATACTTTTTCTCTATCTATCCTGACAAGATATTCTGCCTTGAGATTAATCTAAGTCTCTTGGTTCAGATTCAAGCCCCTACTCAATAATCTCTTTATGGCACTCTTGGCAGTGTCTTCATCTCTAAAAGAGGGATAATGACTTTACCTATAGCACTGGATTGCTGTAAGGGTTAAATGTAAAGCATACAGTATATGCCTGGCACACAGCAAGCAACCCCACGCACGTTAGTTGCTGTGGATTTCAGATTTGTTTGCATCAGTACCCAATAACTTTCATTTCACCCTGTTGTTTCAACCAGTGACTATATTATGGACTTATTTATAAATATACAACACAACCAGGAATGGAGTCATAGCACATTGGGATTTCATTCCAGCTCAGATAGTATTAGGAAGCACCTATTCCAACACTTTTTCTTCATGTGATCCGTACACTGCAGGGTAATCCAGAAACAAGGGTTTGGTTCTTTCCTGGTGACAAAGGATAAGAGAAGATGAAACGGCTATAAAAGTCAGTCATTTAAATATAAAAGATATACGAATAGATGGAAATGCAAAAATGAATATAGTATGTATATAGTGTATATGTATATATATACATATATATATATATATATATATATATATGATATCTATGTGTGCACACACACACACACAGCTGTTTTTTAAACACAGCCATTTTTCTTTAAGTCCAAACTTGATTTCCAGTACAGGCCCCTGTAACTTAACTTGGCATTCAGGTCATGAAGTTCCCCCTACCCTAAGGCCACAGAGATCAGCGGTAGGGGCAAACCGCGCGCCTACTGACAACGCCGGGGAACCCTGGGGCGCTCGCCGTGGCTCCCACCTGTCCGCCAGGTCATTGTGACGCAAATGCTATGGACACGTGGAACACCTGCGGGAGGGCAGGGGCGGGGTCACTCCGGCGGCAGATGCGAGCGGGGGATACCTCAGGAGATGGGGATCGTGGAAAGACCCCAGGGAGTAGAGAGAGAGAGAGACTCACTCCCCCCATCCCCGACCCGCCCCAAACAAGGTGAGGCCATAGCCACCTCCCCGCCCGGGTCCCGGGCTCCTTGTGGGAGGGGGCGTCCGGGAGGGGCGCCTCCGGGAGGGGCGGAGTGGGGCCGGCAGGCGGCGGCCGCTCGGGGCGGCGGCGCGGGCAGGGAGGCGCGGGCGCCGCTCCCCCGGGCCGCTGCGCTGCGCTGCGGTGCTCGGGGCTCTGCCGCCTGCTATTCCGGCTGGCGGCGGCCGCCGCAGGAAGGGCCGGTTCCTGCGCTCCCCCACCCCGCCCCCTTCCCTGCTTTCTGCTGACGCTGACGTCGGGTGAGGGAGCCGGAGGGACGCTCCGACCGCCGCCGGGAGGCTCCTAGGGGCCGGGGCGCCGAGGTACCTGCCCTCCGGGGCCGGGGCCGGGGCGGGGGCGCGCCGGGCGGGCTGCAGGCAGCAGCGGGAGACGCCCGGCAGCCGGGGCGCCAGTTAGGGGCGGCGTCCTCTGCCCTCCGCGGGTGGCGGGTGACGGGCGGGTCGCCCCCTCGGGTCCCTGACGCCCGTGAGGGAGACGCGTCAGCCCCTTCCCCTCCCCCGCCTCACCCTCCGGCCTGGGCAGGTCTGGAGGATGCGCGCGCCATTGGAGCGTGCGTCAGCCCCGGGGGCGCGGGAGGGACGCGTTCCCGGCTCCGGCCGCAGCTCTCGCCCCGGCGCTGGGGTCGCTGGCACCCCCGCCAGCCCACCCACGCCGTGCCTCGCCTTCCCAGTGGCCCCAGCCCCAGGACCCCGAGGTCCCTTCTGGGCAGAGACTTGCGTCCAGGGCTGACTTGTTGACAAGTTCACCTGCCGCGGCGCCTGGTGTTCGCTATGTCTCTTCGCCCCGTTGCCGGTTGTTGGCAGTGGCGGCGGAGAGCAGATGGGTAGCTTTTTATAATCACTAGTGCCAGGAGGCCTGAGCTTGGTCCCCTGCGGGCGAGGTGCTAGCTCACTAGTCTTGGGCTAGACAGGTGCAAGAGTCCCTAAGCAGGCCAGGTTCTTGCAATCCCTAGCGCGCCGGTTTCCTTAGGGTGCTGCTGACTCCGCCTTTCCTGTCCTGGGGCTATTGCAGCTCCGGCTTCCTCTAGAAATGAACATATCCTGTTGTTATGTCTGCCTTTTCCCCAAAGCGGCTCTCCGTTAACCTTTCCCACTGTCTTTTTACTTGGAGTGCCCCAAAGCCACTCACCTTATTTTGGAGGTCAGAAAAGTATCTCGCCCTTACGCTGGCGAAACGCATTTTAACTACCTGGTTGGGGAAGTTGGAGAGAATTATGTTCTCTTCTTTTAGCATAAAAAAATAAGGTTTTCTCCATAGACCTGGGTGGCAGCCTTAGTAACCGAGATCGGGTAACAGTCTAAAAATTATCAAGGCCTGGGAAATATATCACCAGCTGATTTGGGAATGACACTGAATGCAGAAACAAAGGCACATAAGGCATTCATTTGTCATTAAGATCCTATAAATTATGACTCATTGCAAACATGTTTGTGTCCGTACATTTCTGTCAAATCTCTCCAGAAAAATCTCAAGTTGGTTTCTGTGGCCCTCTGGCTTAGATTTGAGATCTGAACTGTTCCTGGGGTTGGGAAGCGAAATGGGAAATGCTTAACTAGTTTGAAATCAATGCTCCAGACTCAATCTCTTACTTTCTGTTAACACACACACACACACACACACACACACACACAATGCTTTTAAGTGAGTTTTCAAACCAAGTATTTCTTTTTTAGGTTTCAGTCTTTATTTTTGAAACATCTTTGGAGAGAATACCATAGGGACAAAATTGGTTTATAGTTCTTTATAGCTCAAATATTGCTGTTTGGTTTTGGACTCATACTGTGTATATATTTTTAATTGCAGATGTTGCTTTCTAATTGTGTCTTCTTATATTACATAGATGAATAGTTGTGCTGTTATTAAAGATGAATCTTTGGGAAACGTAACAGTTAAGCTACAGAGGGCTACTTGTAATAATGGAGAGACCACTAAAAACTGACCCTGGATCCTCCAGCATGGATCACCTAATGCTAAAGACACTGAGTGGTTTATTTTATAGCTGTTTTATCTGCATTTGTTACACTTAAGTAACTGAAAGCTTTCTCTAAGCATCCTGGGGGTGGTGCATATCTCTCCTTATCAACCTTATGAAAAGTACAGAAAATGTTGTTGTTCCCAAAAGAAAACCTTCAAAATCGCTTCAATGTCAAGGTATTTGACTGAACAGTGCATTTTTTTCAGGTGTGAGCAGTCCTATTAGAGGTAGGGAGGTATGGCAACTGTGATAGGACAGGAGGCTAAACCTGTGTTTGGTGTGAACTTTAAGGTTACAAGAACCTCCTGCAGGAGAGGGTGAGGAAGTGGATAGACCACGAGGCGCAGGAAGAATGTTTATTCTTTATTAATTGAGCTAACAGCCAGAGGCCTGAGGGTATGTAGCAGCATTTATGATCAGCGTTCTGGTCCCAAGTGTCCTTTTATTCTGTCTGCATTATCAGATTTATAGGAACCATGGATAAAGATTCGATCTGCATATTTTTGTCCACGCGGCCAATATAGATCATTAATGAACTTTTTCCCCACCCTGCCACCATCCAGACTCTGCCTCAGCAGAGCCTTAAACTCAAAAACTGATAGAGGAAAAGCATTTCTTCCCTATTTTTTTTTCCTTGACTCCCAATCTGATAAAGTTTTGTAGCACAATCATGTCCAGCACTGGGAAGGAGTACAGAGGACAAACAGGCTTTGGATGTGGCTAGAGCATGATTGGAACCGCTGCTGTAGCCCCTAGCTAGCCATGCGGTTAGGCTCTCTAGATCACTACTTCCTTATCAGTAGAACAGGAAGATCCATCTTTTAGGGTTGTGATGGGGATTAGAGATTATATATGATGCTTTGCATTGTAAATAGGACTCGAGTAGTCATGATAAATTATTCTTTCACATGCTCAATATATGGTATCTGTATTGGAAAAGGGTGCTACTGCTTTACCTGTGATAGGAAATGTATTCCAATTTTATTTTGAGTAGTTTCATTTTGTACCAATACCGAGACCCTGGGCTTTATAGAAAATACTCTCTAAAGTGGGGGGATGCAAGCTGTAGTCCAGGAACAAAGCAAAGCTAATTTGTTCCAGTGGGGATAGATCTTCCACACCCCTGCCACTCAAACGTGGTCCGTGGACTAGCAGCATTGGCTTCCCCTGAGAGCTTGTTAGAAATGCAGACTCTTAGCCTGCCTGCCCTTCTTCTTACCCCAGACCCACCAAATTCAAATCTACATTTTAACAAGATTCCCCATGTGTACATTAAAATTTGAGAAGCATTGATGTAAGCTGGTGTTTCTCAAACTTCAGTGTCCCAGAGAATCATGTGGGGGCTTGTTAGATGTGGATGCCCAGCCTGGCCTCCCCATCTGCTGTTACCTGAGGTAGCTCTGATGCCCAGGGTCTTCTGCTGCTGTTTGAGAAACACTGCACCAGGCTATCCAGCACAGGACTCTAAATGAGCCTCTGTCCTCGTCCTTAACAAAACACTTTGGCAACCATGACCTTATTTGATAGTCAACCCCTTTTGAGGTAAATAGGTATTGTCATCCCCATCTATCTGGTAAGGACTATAGGCATGATTTGCCCTGAATAATGCATATGGTAGAACTGCCTTGAATTCTCTATCAATCCTAATTGACCACACTTTTTATTACTGTAGCATTAAATTAATATAGTTTTTGTTTGGGTTTTTGGGGATGAGGTCTATAAGTAATTTTTGCAAATACTAATGAATCTCAGCAGGACAGGGATAACTATACATGAGAGAACCTTTTATACAGGCTTTTAAAACAAAGCCTTTCTTCTACCTAACCCTAGGCCATTAACTTAAGATAACTGGTTTTAGGTTTTATCATAAAATGAGGATGATGTCAACTTGGCAGTGTTGTGAGTATAAGCAGTGATGTGGATACAGTGTACATTTCAGTGTCTGAGAAGTGGCAGTTCCTCAATCAGTGGTGACTGCTTGTCCCAATGAGACACTTGTCCCTAGTGAGTTCATGACAAGTTGGGAAAATGACACCCTGCGTCACTTATGAGAATCACTGTCTCGCTGAGTCAGATGACATCATTCATCAGGCCTCTGCCCAAATCAGAGAAGGGGGGTGACTTAGTATTCAGTAAGCATCTGTTGTGTACGTACCATGTCCCATGCACTTTGCTAAATGCTGGGCATGCCAAGGCAAGACCCAGACCTACCGTGCTCTGGAGGAGCCTATAGCTATTAAGGGAGACAGAGGAGCCTTTCAGGAAAAGCACGGAGGGGATAGAGAGAGGCACAGGGGCGTATGAAACCCAGGGCCCATGCATCCCATCCAGACAGAGCAGAAGGCAGAGAAAACCTGGGAGGGTTCATGAAGGAGGTTGCCTTTTAATTGAGCCTTAAAGGACCAATAGGAATTCAGCAGGGGAATACGGTTTGGGAGGAGGGAAAGAGTTCCCAACAGAGCATTCCTGTGTACAGAGGTTCAGAGATAAGGGAGAGAATCCTGGCAAACAGTCCTTATGTCTGGAGCCTGATGTACATGTGTGTCCCTTATTAACTGAGTGGCCTTGGGCAAGTGTGATCATCTGTGAGTTGGCAGGATTAAATGCATCAATCAGTGTAAGCATAGGGCTAATTTCAGTTATGTGCAAGATAGTTGTGGAGGTGGTAGAGGTTATTAGTAGAAAATAGGGGACTCATATTAAAAAGTCATTAAAATTAGAGAATAATGCAGGAGTTAATTTTAGAATGCATGTAATTAAAAGAGGGTGACTGGAAAAGGACAATGTAATACAGTACTGTGGAGTGGGAAGCACAAGGTACATGCATTCAGAGATGGACCACTGCGTATATGGATGATAGTCATTATTCTAAGAGTCTAGATTAGAGGCTATAAAGATCCTCTAGTTCTGGGTGGTGACAGTATTTGCACAAGAAGTGACTCTTAAATATTGCAGCTATTTTCCAAGAGCACAC